TCATTTCCACCGACTTCGGTTTCACCCTCACCTAAAACTTGGGGCATCTAGAAAATCACTTTCCACACGTTTTTTCAAAAAAGCGTAAGCGAGACTTTTAGGTTATTTTTGATGCGCTACACGATGGGCAAAGTGGAATTTTCGCGGCAAGATGCTCTGTATAAAGTGGGCGGACCTGCGCGGAAGGACCCTCTCTTTACATGTCATTTTCAGGATATAGTACATTACTGCATTCATCTATGCACATTCGAAGGGCGAAGTATAAAGTCTTACCTTTGATTGATTATCACAGTACCCTAAGTGCTTAATTGTTTCTCCCCTCCTCCTGCTTTTTCGTTCAAGTTTTGCTCAGGTCGTTACTTCGGACTTCATGTCTTATTCTTATTTTCTTCCTTTAAACTATTCAACGTTTCTTTTGTTTTCTGTTCTTAGCAAATTTTGTCCCAATTAGCTAAACGTGGTCACAAAATAAATTGTACTGCCTATGGTGGTGCGGTCGTACAAGGTATCGAATGGCGAGATGACGCACAAGAGCTATGGGCAAACAGTGATGTTAGAAAAGGCGGTGCACCGAATGGCTATTAAATGGATAAATCTATTCAAAACTCTCTTATTGGTGCTCTTTAACTCTTATGCGATTTATATGTTCTTTCTTGTTATTCTTATTGTACAGTTCATTTATTATATATCTATTTTGTTTGATTCTAACTATTTTCGATGTTTTGTATCATAACTGCGTTGTCCGTAGTCACTGTTTCCTGCACCATCTGTTGCCAGTAAAATTGACTTTTGTAATGGATGCAACGTGCTGTGAGACTAATTACTCTGAAGAATTTATTGCAAAACCATTCTTCTATGAATGTTTATAACTGAATAAATGATTTATCTCCATTTTCTTAGTGAATTTACGTAATCAACAGTGCTACAGATAAGATGACTTTTTTTTGTCCTGTTGTTGTTATTTTTGCAATATCTCTTGAAACTGTTGATCGTTTGACTTCAAACGTTTACCCTTTTATCCTGTTGTGGTTTTGATCATGTGGTGAAAATTTAAACTCGATACCCTCGATCGCTTTTGAGAAAACTGTCCTGCGAAAATATCCCGTCACCTTGTAATAGCAATAACTCCATGAAAACCTGAAAGAATCTTTATTTATCATACATCATTCGATACATCTTTCGAAGGCAAATCATTGTATAAAGATTGCAAAATAAATTTTCGCGTTAAGTGGGTAGCGAATTTTTAGGAAACCTTTGTCTCTTATCGTCAAACACTATATTTTTCAGACATATTTGTGTTATGGCTAACTCAATCAGTACAACCTGCAGAGTCATCTGCCATTCTGGCTTTTAGATCTGTCTTCTCGGTCAAAATAGTCACTAGCCTAGACAAAAGCTCAGTAAAGTCCAAAACGTTTAGAAAAAACGGGAACCCAGTGTATTGGATAGGATTGAGTGAAAATCGATTTTCCCCACTAATATTCCATCGGCTGCTGTGAAACTTTGTTTTTATGCACATTAAAGGATGCTCTACCGAATGGCCGTTTCAGAATGTTTTTATCTAAATGTTGAATTTATTTCGTTTCTTTCGTCCTAACAGTACAATGGCTATACGTTAAAAATTTTTTTCTGTTGTTGTAATTTTTGTAAAGTAAAAAGAATTATAATCGAGCGAGCAGAAAGTAATTGATCAAACATTTAGCTTCTATTGAAATGGTCAGTTATATAAACTTCGATGTAATTTCCATTACCTCCGAAATGAAATTCCGTTTCCATCTAGACAAATATCATTTTGATAGAAATATATTTTCTGTAACTCCATTCTAATTTTTGATTCAAGTAAAACGACAATGCTTTGTCTACGATCATTTTTCTAGGTACTTAGACAGATTTGAGATGTGTGGACAAAGTGTCTAAAGATGAATTGACGAATCGCAATTTTTAAGCGTAAAACTGATGCCACAATTCGCATTTTACGCTTATTTTGAGAATTCGCAGCGAATTGATGCGAACTGTATCGAATTCGTAAAGATAACGCCGAATTAATGCGAAGAGACGAATCTATCTATTTTTAACCTCATAGAAATTCATAGACAATAAAATGCGAATTTACCACTTCTATTTATTAATTCGTCGGATATCCTTGACGACTTACGATACCAAGGACAAGACACATTTCTCTGCGGTTAAGAAAGTAAGAATCGTCTCTTCGCATCGATTCACATAGTTCTCGCCTCAACTCTCCGTTATTTTTACGAATTCGTAAAATACGAATTGATGTCAAGGACAAGAAGCATTTCTATGAGGTTGAAAATACATAGATTCGCCTCTTCGGATTAGTTGGCATAGTTCTCAACTGGATTCGCCGTTATTTTTACGAATTCGTAAAAAACTCACTGAAATACAACGAAGCACGTTTGGCTTGTTGTGCAAATACTCACTGCCCCCCCCCCCCCCTCGCATATGAAACATGCACTCTCAAGCACCCTGAAATAGTACGGTTGTATTAATAAGTTGCAATTATGCGACAGAAAAAAAATGCACCATGCAAAAGAAACCCAGAAAACATATTTCAACAGGTATCAGTTCGCTCATTTGGTTTTCTAACGATCCGCTACTTAGGAAACGTTTTCGAAAGTAAAAAATCATTCTGTTAAAAAGTGCACTGGTGGAAATCTAGGAAAATTTTTCTGAATATTCTAATACACATAAAAAAAGCACGTTTACTATATGACCCCCTACGACAATATCTATGGATCCATCTGTCTTTGATAAACTGTCTCTAACGAGGGAAGGCCTCAACTGTCCAGAAGCTTTTGGCCCAAATTTACTGGACAATAGCTAATCGAGTGTCCTGATTCCGAATATTACGTTGATTTGGGCCCAGTTTTAGTTTAAAGATCCGGTTTTTGAAATACTGGATTTTTGGGTCGAAAAACCATTTGCAATAAAAAATTTTGATCCTGATGATTGATATGAAATGGCATATCGCGAAACCCACGTAAAACTGTTTTTCAAGGTTTTAGAGGAGGTTTCGAGCGGGTATTGAAAGACTAAAACTTAAAACTACACCAAGGAAAACGCGTTTTCGCACTTATGCGTTTTGTGCGATTAAATACTGTTTTCTAGGTTATCGAACGTGCTAAATTCGAATATTCCATTGTTTTCAGCCCTTAGAAGAGCTAACGATTTGGATTTGACGGAGACAATAGTTTGATACAAAAATCTTTTACGCAAATGAGGCAGTTTTTCGACATGCCTAGATCAAAAAAATAAAAAAGTCTTCTTTTAATAAGCCACTTGCAAACCATGAATATTTGATCAGTGATACAAAGACGTCCGCACTCAACGGATTATGCAGGAGACTAACCAAGCGAATAATGTTATTCCGCTGATGTAAATGTACATCGAGCTCACCCATTTAAATGTTAATGTTATTAATTATATTTAAAATACAATATGTTAGGTCCGGTATACGTTGTTGTGTATAAGTAGTTTATTTGGAAACTGAACACGATCCTTTTGCATAAAAATAGCGTATATTTGTATCAAAATTTACATGAAAAGCGGAATATTCTAGAGTTGATGTACTAGACTGGGAAACTGGGGATACATGTAACCGATCACAGAAAATAAAGAAACCAAGAACTAACACTGGTGAAATTCCTGATAGAAAGAAAGAGAACGAAAAGAACTAATACTGGGGAAATTCCTCATAGAATGAAAGAGAACGATACATATATATATGTATGATACCTATCATACAATTCTCTCTTGCCGTACATCTTTAATATGCGGCATAACACAATAATCTTCAGAAAAGCGAAAGAAACTAGTACTTGTATAGATTTGATCTAATGCCATTTACACATTGTTCTTTTCTTCTTTCTTGTAGCAATACATTACTCACGTTCGTTCCCTCGATTTTATCAACATAGCACATTTAATCCACAATTTCCTTAGTAAACCCTTTCTTTTCCTTTCCCTATATTTCTACCAACTTGTTTATAAAAATAACCGTGAAATCAGAAAAATCATTCAAGGTAACTCATTCAAATTGTCTTTTAATTCATTTTTTTGATCTAGGCATGTCGAAAAACTGCCTCATTTGCGTAAAAGATTTTTGTATCAAACTATTGTCTCCGTCAAATCCAAACCGTTAGCTCTTCTAAGGACTGAAAACAATGGAATATTCGAATTTAGCACGTTCGATAACCTAGAAAACAGTATTTAATCGCACAAAACGCATAAGTGCGAAAACGCGTTTTCCTTGGTGTAGTTTTAAGTTTTAGTCTTTCAATACCCGCTCGAAACCTCCTCTAAAACCTTGAAAAACAGTTTTACGTGGGTTTCGCGATATGCCATTTCATATCAATCATCAGGATCAAAATTTTTTATTGCAAATGGTTTTTCGACCCAAAAATCCAGTATTTCAAAAACCGGATCTTTAAACTAAAACTGGGCCCAAATCAATGTAATATTCGGAATCAGGACACTCGATTAGCTATTGTCCAGTAAATTTGGGCCAAAAGCTTCTGGACAGTTGAGGCCTTCCCTCGTAAGTTACCATTGAACAAAAGTCTGAAGCGTTTTCATGTATGTGTTTGTATTTTCAGAGTTTGGATCTCAGTAGTAATCACTTTCAAACCCTGTATTCATTGAAAACTTTTGCATCATCGGTAAACGACGTCAGGTAAAAACTGATGTTTTCCGCCCTCGTGGGGGTGGGCATTGTGAGAGTGAGTTCGAAAAGTAGTTTCACACAAAACATATTTTCATGATGCGAAACTAGATATGTGTGACTGTATCAGATGATGACTAGTCACCACATAACTTCAGTTTAGTTTGAAAACATGATATACAAAATACAAAAGCTGCCTCATTTATTCGTCTTTTCCAATAATCAAGTCGTTGCGGTAATGTCATTTTTGTATTCGCGGTAGGTTCGTTTGCGGTAACAGCGTTCGCGGTAATGTCGCTGTATAAAAATTAATTTTCAGCTTCAATGAGTCCGAAGAACGTAGAAATTTCAAATTGTCGCCAAATCATTGATATTTGCACAGCTCCACACTTTATTTCCTTCAAAAATTTTAACATCACTCGGCTCTTTTTTTTGTTCAATGGCACTGAACACCCATTCACAAAACTTCATCGAACAGAACTGAGACTTTTGTGACATGTATTCGACAGTATACATTCGATTTTTCAAGCGAAAACTTGACACTCAAAAACGTAGGAAAGAAATGTTAAAAGAAGATATTTAGAAATGGATTAGTTTCTAATTCGTATAACCAGCTGAAATGAAAGTTGGAATCAGATGCAATGCACTCCAACATCTGAGTGCTGAACTTCGAGTTTCGATCGAATGTGTCGTAGATTTTTTCCTGAATTAGTCAGTTTTTAACCACAGCAAATCAACAGATAGGCGAGTTGTTTCATTCGTAACACAACGCCTGCAGTGACAAAGTCATTTCCTCGAGAAGAGACAGGGAAAAAAACGTTCTGATCTGAAGTCTAATTGATACCAAAGGGCTCCGAAGGTCTCTCGTACCTGAAATTAGTTTCATTCTCAGTTAATTAAATTTTTTTATACAAACTCACCACTCACATATCATAATCATACTTTTCGAATAAATAGCGAGCTGAGAGTACACTCTTAAATCGAATCGCCTGCTAGAAGAATATCAACACTATCGTCGTTTATCGATTCAAAGACGGCTACGAGGACAGGTTGTACGCCTTTACCATCAACATCTTCATCTTCATTACCACATACATCCTTACAGAAATCACGTCAGAACTATGCCGGTGAAGGAAGTCAGCGCGATAAATTTATGAAAGATAATCATTTGTAGAGTTATAATTACCCGTCAACCGACGTTTGAGCGACCGACATCTGAGCGCCGACATCTAAACGCCGACATTTGAGCGGCTTCGACATTAGACATTTTTCAATATGACTTTTTGCCGATCACGAAAGTAGAAGGATTATTCACTTCGATAACGATTAATAACGATGATGAGAACAATCTTTTTGTCGTCCGATTAAGAAGTGAATTATTTGGAGATCCGTAGAGGGTGAGGCTGTGTGGGATAAGGGTGAGTGGGGATGAGAGTGAGCACCTATAAGTGATGCGCTTCGCTCAATTGTTGGAGTCCTTCAAATGCGGTCGCTCAAATGACGGGGGCGCTCAAGTGTCGGCGCTCAAATGTCGGCGCTCAAATGTTGGTCGCTCAAACGTCGGTTAATCATTTAATTCGATCATGTAATTTAATCATAATCATGTATTAAAGGTCGCTGACCACGCAAATGTCAGGAGATGAAAATAAAACTCTCAGGATTACAAATTAAGGTTGAATTCAAGGTTAAATCGACTGATAACAATCCCGAATGAAGCCGATTTTAACAACGAAGAAAAATAAAGTATTTTTTATAGCAAAACAAACTTTACCATGATGATCAGCTATGTCGAAAACCTATGAGGTCAACATTTTTGAGCACATATAGTGCGTAAAGTTATGGTTTTTGGGCTGAAAACCCGTTTTTTCAGAGGCTTCAGTGCGCGATCTGTAGCGTTTGAATAAAACGTCGGAGAAACCTTGGAGTTGCGTATAATTGTAGATAAGAGGTCTGGGTATCGAATCCACTCGTTGGGATCAAAAATTCATCAAGCCTTCTACTTTTGGTAAGATGGTTTTCCAAAGATCTTCCCGAAGATCCACTTAAGATCCATTTGAAAAGCTTTGTTTTCACATATGGTTATGTTCCCTGGACTCGCTGTTGACTACATGATAGCGAAAATCCGACCTCGATAGCTGTTTGCATTCTCGAGTTATTCAGCTCGCAATCACTCGCCTTCTATTTTGAAATGGACAGTAGGTTGTGAGATAATGTAAAAATACTCTGATAGTTTTCGTTGACTTTACAGGAAAAATAAATCCGCCCCCACAGCTTTCAAACCATTCCGCCGCCCCTAAGTCGAGAAGAACGTCTTAAATTAGATTCATCTAATAAAACGGCCGTTTAATAAGACGTTGGCTAATAAAACGGACTTTTATTAACGGAGACAAACTAGTACCGGGTACTGATTGAAGAATCGTTAATAATATTAAGATATCAGCCAAAATTAAATGACACAGTACGTTCAATTCCCCTTTACATATATCCCAATGGAATTTCCAAAAAATTGTTATCCGATCCAGGGGGATAATTCATCGTTTTAACAAAATAACATATCAAGGCATTTTTGACCTTGTCTGTGCATAGTCTGTTCATAGTTCTCGATTTTACAAAACATGTTTTTCTCTCTTACAAAGAATGTCTATTTCTCTCTTTCTCTCTCTCGTACTACAAAATAAATTTATTTTACTCCCTTTGTGTAGTTATTCAGGCATATTCGTTTTAACTTTATATCGTGTTAATCGTCTCTATTGTCTTGATAATGAAAATTACAATTTTCGAAACGTCGACTTTATTTTTATAAAAAGGTTTACTTTTAAAAATATTTTTAATTTTAATTTTTATTAAATAAACATGAATCTGAAAACAGTTGCTATTATTATTTTATCAATTTTGAAACTTCTACCCCTGAATAGATATAACGTTGAAGTATTTTGATTGCTATTAATCAGTGTACTTGTTTATTCTTTATTCTTCCATCTAAACGTTGTTTTGATTGTTTTAATTGTTCTATACCATTTTGTAATATATCTATATGAACATTCAATGACATTGTTTGTCCAAGGTCAATTTCTGAAACAATTAATTTTAATTCATCAGCTTCATATTTAAAACGTTTTAATCTATTAATTATATTATTTACATCGATTATTCCCACTTTTATATAATCTTTAAATAGCGTTAATGTTTCAACATTACGTTGATGTTTTATTTGATCCATATTATTATTATTACCAATCGTCGTGCGGTAGAGTTTAGCAAAAAGTCCTTCCTTTAATTTCTTTTCTTCAATTTCATCTAATTTATTTTGTGTTTTAAAATGACTTTCACATAAGACATCATTTATTGTTTCATATTTTGTTTCAACATTGTCTAAATAAACAAAATCATAAAAATGACGCTTTTAGTATTAAAAGAACGAAAATAGTGTATGAACGGACTACACTGATTCTTGATACTACTAATAATAATAAACTTACATAGCTGTGAATGTACATCTTCTGCAAGAAGTATAACACGTTCAACTTCATTTTCGATTTTTTCCACATAATGTTGAAACTGTGATTGAATGCTATTTTCAAAATTTAATGTTGCTATTTCCGACTGACTTGACGACGATGACGAAGAAGTAGTAAAAATTAATGATTCATCTTTCAAAGATGTTAATGCATATCTTGTATAAATTTCTAATTTTGATAATGTACCAGTAAATGCAGCAAGCATTTTATGTATACGCTCAGCTGTTGATTCAACTGACGTTTTTAATTCCTCAATATTATTTTTAAGTATTTGTTTTGACGGCGCTTCAATATTACTATAAATTACTTGTGTTTTTAAATCGATTAATGATATTCTTACTTGAGTTAACTTATTTGGTGCACTAACATCAATATTAGAAAGACGTTCAGCTAATTCAGTTGATTTTTCAACAAACGTCGGAACTGATGGCAGTTTTATCAGAGGATTATTTGGGTTTTGTACTAGTAATGGCGGATTTTGTACTGGTAATGGCGCTTGTGGTAGTGTGTTAGAATCTGCTTTGCAAAATGGTAATATATAATTTGCGAATGGTATATAATTACATGCCAGAGCAGGAAGACAATATTGCCATGCTACTGCCCATGCGACTGCAAAAGCAACAACAATGAATGTGGTTATAATTATTGGCTTTACAGCGTAAGAATAAACTGGTGATAAAATATTAGTAATTTCCTTAACAATCCAATGTTTTCTCCAGGGACGTAAATGATTCACTAAAAATGAGTGTAAGATGTATGCTATGCGTCTGTTACAAGTTACTTTTAAAATGTTAAAAAGCGAGTTTTTACCTCTTTGTTCGCCATTACTATCGACTTCGCTTCCTCTTCCTCCTTGATGTTCATGTAGAGTGTTCGTAGCAGTTTGATTATAGCGACCTGTTAACATCAATAAAAATAAACAAATTTGTTGAATTAACTGTCTTTTTTTATTTAAAAATACAATATGAGTACTATATTTTTTGTCACCGCTAGAGTAGAATGATAGAAGTTGAGGTGTAACAAAATAAAAATAAAATGAAATTGCCACATTACAACAAAAATAAAAGGATGCTGTGCAGAATTCTCACACAGATACCAAAACAATGAAGCCATCGTAGTTTATAATAACAACTATTTGACTGTTTAAAAAAATAAGGCATGCGACTACTTTTTAAGTTTCTCGAGAATAAAATGTGGTAGAGAGTTTTGCGTTTTTATCATTCAAAAGAAGAGACTTTGGAGTACATTTTTACAACAGATATGATTCGAAAATAGGTTTTAAAGTAACTTTTCAGAAGATCTTTGGAAAACGAACTCATAGCTTAAAAACTTCAAGTACGAACACTCTTATTTTTCTTCATGAACAGATCACCCAAAGTATCCTCTTCAAAATGTGAATCAATAGAGACCTTAATTTCCAGTGGTTCGGGCGTGGTATCCAATTTCCTTAGAGTCTTATGACTGATATCCAGTTACTTCAGGTAGTCTTGAAATCGGATGGAACATACATAATTGTACACGTTGGATCGTACGGCAATATTGTTTTTGGAAAACGAATTCAAAAGCGGAGTGAAAACGGAGTTTTACCAAAACTGGGGTTTCCATACTGTCGTCACATAATATTAAAAAATTCACTGTTCACTTCAAAAACGTCAGAACGAGTTCGAAATCTCTGGATATGATGAATGTTTCTGGAAAACCTATTAACAAAAATATGCGTTTTCGATTTTTTCGTTCTTATAATCACATTTATCGAACAACATTCATCATATCCAGAGATTTCGAACTCGTTCTGACGTTTTTGAAGTGAACAGTGAATTTTTTAATATTATGTGACGACAGTATGGAAACCCCAGTTTTGG